CATAAAAGTGATATCATTAAATATAGTTATAAATTATTACTAAAAATCTAATAGATAAAAAAAGTATATTTTAAGTCGACGAAACGAATATAATTTTTATTCATACATCAATTTCCTTCCAACAAGATTGTAAACTCTTTTATTGAGTTTTTATGCACTGCTAACTTCGGGTTAGGTATCTAAATAACACTTACATACAGTGTATGTTTAGATATAACGTAACCAGCTATAGTTTATAAGGTGCAGTGCGAGAAACCTTCAAAAACCATTCTTCGTAAATACTGTGCACTTGATCCGTTGTGGCATAAATTACCCAAGTACATAATGAAGAAGATAATCATTGAACGGTATTATATAACTTTGCCGTTTAAGAACGCTCTTATGCAACGTGAGATATAAGGTTAATAGATAAGTCATAAGCACAGTGACATCGTCATTGAAGCGATCAGTCAATAGAATGAGAGTACGCTCGTCAAGTTATTCTAAAGCCCAAACCCACTCGGGCGACACACAAAGTTGTTGAGTCCGTTTTTTCTATGCGATTTTCTCTATTTTGAAAGTAATGAGAGAACTTATCACGCAACCGTTTAGTCGTTGTAAAAAAAAAACTAGAAATAATTAGACAAACACGTTTAAAGAACCCATACGAATTGGCCGACTGTCTTGAAGACCAAAACGGCCTTGTAAATTGTAATATTCTAATACAAACCGTGTTTGATTTTAGTCATTATACAGTTTAATGGATCGGTCATTAGAAAAACGATGATGTTAACTACAAACTAGTACATTAGATCACTAATGATGTCGCAACGTGTGTAACGCAACGTTGCACGGCAAATTACAGTACACCTTACAAAATTGTTTTTTATAAAAAAAGTGTAACAGCTTTATACTTTTTCAAATCACCTCTGGTGTCGTTTCAACGTTCGCACGCGCTTTTACTATCATATTAACTCGGTAATCACTTCCTTGGAGCAATTGAATCTAATTATATGCGATGCGGGTATTTTTTTCTTGTGCCCCTCGTGTGTGATGATAGACGCATTGCAATTTCCTTTAGAAACTATTAGTAGTCCTGCAATCACATGATAATAATAGTACAAACTCTTTTTTATGATTTTAATTTCCTTGATATGTAATTGCTAGTCCTGCCAAGTGACAGCAGCAACTCTACTACTGTTTTGCTAGTGCGTAGAGAGTGTACTTACACCGGTAGCTTTGTAAAATGTAGTAAAAAAATGTTAACACAAACGTCTGGGTATGTTAAAGGAGTACATTGAACAACATGGATAGAAGCAAACCGCACATGGGCTTTTACTTTTCGCTCTATGTCGTCAGTGTAGAATCTGAAAGTATACCCTAAGAGTCTACATAAGAACCGTCATTTTGTAGATCGAACGAAGACCGAATCATTTAACCGGATGTGTAATTTTTATTTTGATTGTATACTAAGGGTAGTGGACGGGCAGATTCAACCCCGTTATCTCTTTACAAGACACTTTCTCTGTTGTGTATTGCACGAAACAGTAACGGTACCGTGAGATAGTCTGGTCCCGGTCTTATTGTGTACCTGTAGCCACCTGTTAAGATCGCACAACAATATACCTGTTGATCACATTACTATGCAGTTGCTACAATCCAAATAGTGTGAAGACGCTTCTCGAGAACAAAAAAAAAGTGAAGACCGCAAACACCCTTCGTTTTCTACGTTGTTCTTCTCTCACGCATGTTTCCCAAAAGGAAAGGTCGAGGAGACGGTATAGGCCAAACACAAATACATGTCATTAATATTGTGTAGTGTACACTAAAGACGTTTTCCGTTTCTCTTTCGGTGAGGATGGTAGGTGCTCAGTGTACAGGTGCCAGGCAAAAAAATCACTGTTTTTTAGGTTGCCAACTGTTACTGTTTTTGTTTTTTACTAGTATACAAATAATAAGACCCGTACGTACCTAACGGAATCCTCGTTATACAGTTAAGTAGTTACCCGTATACTTACCGGAAAACATAGCTGTTTGCTCTGCGTACAAGTATTAAATTGAATGTAACAGACAGCTACCGGTCGAATAGGAAAAAATTATTATTTTGTATGCAATTACTTTTAAATTCTAATCCTAATTTTTTAAATTTCTTTTTACCTATTTATTGGGTTGAGTGGAGTACAAAAATCTTTAATTTCTGCTATGGAATACTTCTATTTCATTACCATTCTCCTTAGAATTTAGCTTAAGTACTAATTTCGTAATCAAAATCTATATTTTTCAAGTTTTTGATGAGTTGTTTCTTTTACTTATTTTGATGTTGCATTTTTTACTAAAGTTTTCAATTATTTTTTGCTAATAGATAAGAAGGATTATCTAAAATATCTAAACAATTGACTTTTAAACAGGATTTCTATAACCAATATTTTAATTTGTATTGCTTAACATAGTTCCTTTCAAATAACATTGTAAGATAAATATTTTTTAAAAGTAATTTTAGAGCCCAAATTTTCAAAACGTGACGTCGGTATAAAAACTCCCACGAAAAATTCTTCTTTCGTGTCTATTAACGAAATCAGAAATCGCTCATTGATCGACTCAACATAATATTGTGCTAGTTAAACGCCGTGTTCGTGACAAAAATAGTAAATTCGATCGTGTACTGTAGGGGACCTATACTGATCTTTGGAAGGCATTACTGATTTCGCGAAAAACTTTCACTTGCCGTTTTTTATTCAAAATGAAAACGCATTTGACTTTTAAGTTGGTTCTGTAACATTATTGTAATAATATAATATGTAAATTATACCATAGACACGTTTTTGAAATATACTTATAGTAAATGTACAAAGTAAACATAAATATTAATATCAACAAGAACATTGTAATGATTCACAGTAAGAAAATATTGTAACCTGAGTGATAATACAGAATTATAAAATGATTTATTTGTTTAGTATAGTAACCAGGGGTTGGAACCTTTTGAAAATGAACCTTAAAGCACCGGTTCAAACCCGTTTCTGACGAAGAAAATAAAAAATCGAGAACAGAACTGGAATCTTAAAGTTTTTTTTTAAAATGTTTTTAAAAACCTAAATGGTTATTTTAATATAAAAATGTTCTTGGTAACGAGAATATTCTTGAGAACATTTTTCTGCAGAATATTACAGGATAATATAGTATTACAAAAAAGAACTAAATAATTTCTAAAAATAAGCAATATTTAATCAAACTTGAATTGTTTGAAACAATGAACATTTATTAAAAAATTATTATGAATAATAAACATTATTTACTTAGACAATGATAATAAAATTTCTAAAAAAAATATTCTAGTCTAAATGTAATTTTATGGCCTCTTAATATGTTGCATTTCTACGGCTTTCTAATATTTACTTTAATTCTATGGCTTCTCAATGTTATTTTTAATTTTTATGGTTTCTATATTTTTGCATATCTATGGCGTTTTTATGTATCATTTGTTGTTTATATACTAAAAATGATAACCCTACTAAATTATTGCATTAGTGTAGATGCAATCAAAATATCCCCAGTTTAAAAAACTTTATAATTACAGTAAAATATAATTTAGCCAACAAGATTAAATTTAGTAACTTATAAATATAACTTTAAAGCGTTTGTAATCTTGGAATAAAAATATTCCATAATTGAATAATTTTTATTCGAAGTACACTGTATATTTAATTTTGGTCGATCGAATTATCTGAAGCTAAATAGTAGAAGTTAGAAGTGACTTAATTTTTACTTGTTTGATTACAATAGGATGGTACATCCTAAAACTTGAAAACTTATGTATTTCTTAATAATTTTTCAAAATTATTAATTAATGAGATTTTTGGGTGGTTAGTTTTATTTCAAAATTAGTTCCTACGTGAATCTATTCATTATGAATTATATGCTGAATATTGTATAATATTCAGCATATATTCAGTAAAAAAAATCTTTCTCAAATGCATACTAATTTTTTTTTACGCTCTTATTGTAAGCAGTTCTTCCTATTTTTTATCTCTAAAGCAGCAGATAAATAGAAAAGACAACAACGGTTTTTGCCATTATTTTAGGTCAAAACAATATCGCAAAAATTAATTTTATTGACCTAACGATGTAATATTTTTAAAATTATATTAAGAGCTTACTGCTATTTTCTCAATTCGAATTTATATAACAGATAATAAATTAATTGCATCCATCTACAATGTTTTATAAATCAATTAATACTTGCATGGCTACTCTTAAAATGGGGAATAATAAAAAAATTGTCAAAATTCTATGTTATTATATTTAAAATATTTGATTTTTGTTTATTTATTTTTTAATTCTGTCATTTAACTCATAAAATATTAATTAATTTTTCAAAATCAATGTATTCTACGGGTGTTGCAGATTCAACTAATATTCACAATTAAAACTAACGGATGAAATAAAAATCAATGCGTCAAGTAAAGAGTTGGCTTAGCTGTTTTTTTATACATATTTGCGACTTTGATGTCGACAGATGTAATATTTCTCTAATTATTGAAATGATTCGCAGTAACAGTCGTGTATTTATATTGATTTTACATCGAACAAATTTCAAATAGTCGGCTGGTCGCGCGACACGACGAAATGTTTATGTACGTGTCGGGTTCACAAAGGTGCGGTGGCATATTAAATTAAAAAAACGGACGAGGGAAAAGCACAATAATGAGAAATCTCAGTCAAAAGATGCGGTGACTGGACAAAAGGCGCGCGATATTGTTATTATATTCTGCGCGTGTGAAGCGCGAGCCCAGGTACCTTTAAATTAGCGCGTGGCAGGTGTGCGCGCGTGTTGTGCACGTTTACCGATGTCTTGTCTCTCTCACACTCACGTGGAACGGCTCAGCGCCCCTCTGGGGCATGCCGATGCGTGTCCGCACACTGTGGGAATGCGACCAAGATTCCCACGGGCGTTCGCACTCCACCCTTCCTGGCCAGGCCCCTACTCACCTACCGGCATCCGTATAAAACCCGCCGTGCCCTTGGGTCATGCAACCATTTGACCACGTACCGTACCGTCGTGCGCGTCTCTACCGCTACTGCTGCAATCACTACGTTCACCGCTCGTCTCGTGTGCGTACGTACTCGTGTAAACTCGATAAATTTTTATTATTTCAATCAACGCGTTTTTGCCGTTCCATCAAATCCAATCGAATATGCATCCTGAAGCTATCAGACGTTCTGCCTACATGATGACACAACGACCGTCTGAATTTGACGAACAGCCAGTTTCTCGCACCTACCAGTACAGAAAGGTAATTAAAAGTTAAAAAAAAAAAATATCGCATCGAAGCAAATACATTTTTCAATTAAATTTCGTTCGGCTTGACTAACGAATTTGTATTTTTTGGTTATTCAGGTTATGAAACCAATGTTGGAACGCAAACGCCGAGCTCGTATCAACCGTTGTTTGGACGAACTAAAAGAACTCATGGTGGTGGCTCTTCAAGCCGAGGGCGAGAATGTTAGCAAATTAGAAAAGGCCGACATCCTCGAGTTGACGGTCAGACATTTGCACAAATTGAAGCGACACAACGCTCTGGGTCTCAACGGCGACTCGGTGTACGCCGACAAATTCCGTGCCGGTTTCGCCCACTGCGCCGCCGAAGTGTCCAACTACCTAACGGCCGACGTCCGATCACCGCCCGTCGATCCCACGTCCGGCGTAAAGCTGCTCCATCATTTGGGCGCTTGTATGCGCAAAATAGAATCCCCAGACAGCTCGGCCACTGCTGTGCTCGCAGTTCGCCCTGATCAGCACCAATACAACCAACAGTACAGGCCGTACACTCCTCCAGCCACTCCTAGTGACCTCAAGGACGACCAAAACGTGTGGAGGCCCTGGTAAAACATCCTTCGTCCAGCATTACACGCGAAAACGCCATTCAAGACTGATTGCAAACTAGGTCCTTCCCGCTATTTTTAAGTATATATTCGTTTTTATTGGCTCGCTCATTGCCGCCTATTGACATTTGATTGTAATATTTATATTTTATACATTATTATTATTTTTTTGTTATTTTTTGATCGAGTACAGCTATTTACCAAAATTCGACTTAAAACACTGTAACTCATTGGACGTAGCATTAGTTTTACTCTTTTTGTGTACATTTTTAGCTGTAGAGGAGAATTTGAAAATATTTTTTCTACTATTTAAGCTTATCTGTGATAACAACATTGTGTGTACAAAAATATAATGATAATTTATTATTACCGTTGATTCCTGTGTTGAGTATATCATTTGATTAATTTAATCCTCTACGCCGGTGGTAAGATGTTAGACCGTGTGACAAGTCTATCTCGACGGGAGCCGTCGAGCGAGATAAGTCAATTTGTGTTCAGATACGTGACTAAATCGTTTGGTTCTGGGAACCAGTTAAAGGAATGAGTAAAAAAATAAGAAATGTATACATCACTGGGTAAAAGGAAACAATAACGACGATAATATATATATATAATAACGATTCACTGGTATTGTGCCGGACAGCAAATTCTCACGGTAAGGCGGCGCGCAGAAACCGTGACCGATTACTGCTGTTGTTGTTGTTATAAAGACAGACGGTACAACAGATAATATTATTTGTACACGTATAGTGGTCACAACGGGTAAAGACGGCGGACCGAGAGCAGATATCCTATCGGATCGGTGATTTAGACGTGTGCGTATTCGATTCCGGTGCTGTTGTTCGGTGATCGACCGGTGTGTGTGTGTTCACGTCACCGCAGTACGTGATAAACGATCCTGTCACGTCCGCTAATGACCACACGTTATATTTATACAAATAAATATAAAAAAATATTGAATTACGCGTGTAATCGACCGTAAACGGATGCGTGCGTATCATTTTTGCGGTCAGTGTGCAGAAAGGGTCACTGTCAACGAGACGCGCTCTTATCAGAACACAAGTGTACGCGGCTCCGGCAGATACCGACTAATACACTTGCGCGAATTTTGTTTGTGATCAACAAAAAAACTTATTTTAATCGTTTGTTGATTTGATACCAATCAACGACATAGTATATTCGATTTCATAAAACGGTATTTTTTATTTTAGAGATTTTGTCATTTTTACACACAATATCGTTATTTAAATAATACAATTGTTTTAATGTTTAAGAAAGAAAAAAGCTGGAATATTTTTTTTTAAACTTTAAAATGCGAGCTACTAATAGCTATTCGTGTTCAACTTTTAACGCTTGTACTCATAAATATAAAACTATTATGACATAATTTTAAGCATTCATTTCAAGTATTCATTGGTACGATTTCGCATACAATTGAAATTCTTTTAATATACTATCAAAGTGACATAAAATCAAAAAATCGTTATTGAATCATTACATTTCGATATCGGCAACGAATTTTTGTGCCGATATCGATATGTTTGGCCGGCACTAGTATGTGCCGTTCATGTATATTTTCACACGAAAACGCCTTGGGCATAATAACGGCGACGACAAAGGAAGATCGTGACTTTCTTGTGAACACATTCGGACAATGCGTCTACCGTGTGTATTGACGATAATAGAGAGTCGAGAAAAAAAGTGTTTAGAGGCGAGGCGTTTAGAAGAAGAAAAAATCAGTGAAATCCGTCACTTACGGCCGCCCCCATCCGGCGGACATGAGCGGACCGGAAACGCTTGGCCGGAGTCAACAGCGGCCGTGACATGCGCCTCCTAATCAACGGCTATTTTGTATTGTATCGCTTCTGCCGTTGATTACATGTCATCGTGTTGGCGACGAGATGACCCGTTTCCTTGGTCGCGAACACAGCCACATTGTTCCCATTGCGAGTTTAGTGTACGGCCCGAGATGTGTTCGGTTCGTGTGACTGCTTCTCTTGCGTTGCTAGGCAACCGTGTAAACGCCGGCCGAAACAGGAAACGCGTTTCCTCGAGTCTAGACCGACGGCGGATCTTTTGTCTTGTCGAAAGAACATTAAATCCTTTTTTATTTTTACACGGCAGGAATAATACTAGAACGTAACACCTATTATAATGGAAATAACAACATTATGTTTTCAATAATAATTCCATTGATCGTGTGTCAATGACAGCGTATTGATTGTACGCGTGTGCGCGTTGTGAGTAGTTTTGCTCATAACAAAATTGTAAAAAAAACTTTCCCACAATATTATTGTTTTCGTTGGCATCGGATTTCTTTGGCCTCAGAAGGAAATCGAGCTTCGTGCATTTTCAGGAGGGTAAGAACATATAATTGTGCGGAAATTATGCAGACCGTAGTTGGACATCTTTTTTGTTGTACTTGTTATTTTTTCTCGGTTTTGCTCTATTGATTTCAGCTTCTACGGCTCTGCGCTATAAAAATACCTACTAATACACGTGCAATTGAACGTCAATTATGACTTTGTTTTCATTTTTTTTTTTACCCGAAGTGTATTGTGCTTATTTGGTTTTCAGCGAGAGTGCCCCGTGTACAAAGACACTATGTTTTGCGACTTTTTAACCGTTTATTCTGATATTTCAAGGATAGTTATGGAAAATTCAATAAAAAAAAAGTAGCACCTGACGTACGTGAAACTAATTGATTTATAGATATTTTTGTGCGTTGCTAGTTCGAAATACGCACTGCTTACCTGACACGTGTAAAACCTTTTTTAAAATTTCTTCAGAAAAAAAAATACTGTGAGGAAAATATGTGTTCTTAATATATATTAATTATAAAAATTAACTTAATAATTGGAAATAATAATATTGTTATAGCAATAAAACTATAATCCGGATGTATAACATATGATTAAATTTCCAATTACTTATTATAAATTAAAGTACTGGATTAGGAAAATATCATTCATAATAATATAATTATTATGAAAAATTTATTTCTAGATTCTTGAAACTAAAATACTTGTCATTTTTAAATGAAAAATAATGGCACAATTTTATTATAATATAATCCTAAAAACAAAATCTACATGACAAAAAAATACGGTTTGTTAACAGTGGTCAATAGTTTATATTAAAAAATAATAATAAAAATCTATTTTGAAATATTTGTTTGTATTTAATGCAGCCACATAATTACTCAGTGTCAAAGTGTTAAAGAGATAATAATATTTCATTGCTAATATTAGGTAACCAAATACATCAATATAAATTTAAGATATAATATTGTTAATGTGCAAAGTAGCACAAAACAAAAGGGTGATAGATGGGGAGAATCTATCATCTATAGATGGGGGGGACCCCCATGAACGTGACTTTTTCAGAAAAGTTCATGTACCGTTTCTACTAACGACTTTAGTTATATACCACTTAAAAAATAAGAATTGATTACTTGTAACTAATATTATTTAAAACAATTAATATTGTAATTGTTTTTTTTATATTGTTAACAATGAAGTAATAAAATCTTTCCATACTTCAAATATTCTCATGATCATTCAATATAAATAAAAAAAATGATTAAAATCACTATTATAAGAAACGCTGTAGATATTGTTTAATTTAAAGAAATTGGTGGATTATTCTAAAAAAAATTGAACTCCTATTTTCTTATTTATATCTTGATTACATGTTTTATGATTTATAAGTATAATATATGAATAAATATTTAATATATTTGAATAACTTGGACTGTACACATAGTCGGGATAATATATATATATTTTAATTTATAATATGTCACATAAGCTTTAAATTAACATGTGTTTAAATAACGCAGTATTTTTAGAAAATTTTCAAAAGTTAAGTTGAAAAAATGTACTTTTATGTAAAACTTGTTCTTTTGAATTCGTCCCTATAGGCAAGTAAAAGTTTTCAAAAAACAGATATCAAATATAAGAGAAACATCTAATGATTTTATAAAAAAATTATTATGATTTATTTATTTTTGAAAAGTTATTGCTGTATTAAGAAAAATAATGTCAAAATTTGCCGATTTTATAACTTGTAATTTTTAGGAGGATTTCCTCCATTTACTAAGAACGAGGGAAATTTTTTCAATTATAAGGAAAATTTCTTCTACTAGATACGGTTTATGATATTTTTAATATATCGTTGAAAGAAATTGACCCAGTGAAAGCTGAGAAAAAGTGGCTAAATACATAAAAAAAAAAAAAATACTTCATAGTAAAATTAATATCTTCTCAGCTTCGCATCAAAGCTAAAAGCTATTGAATTTTTATCGAGTTTTTTGTTAATTCAAAGCAGCCCAAGTCATAGTATCTTCAATTTAGCCGGCGAACTAATATCCCATATCAAGAGGCTGGAAATATCATTAAAAAAATAGCCAAATAAATTAGTAATAATCCCGATAACCAAACGTAAAAAACAACACTATTAATTTTTTAAAGCAATCAATATTAACGCTTCTGAAATAATTAAAAAAAAAAAAAAATAAAGCCACCTTGGATTATATCAAATAAAACAAACGCCATTAAAAAACATCAAACATAACCTGAAATATTGAAAATACATTGGAAATCAATCCTTGAAGAAGAAATTATTAAAAGTATATACTCACGCATCAAAAACGTAAAAAGGAGTGGGCATCTTCATTATAACAGAAACAAAACAAATATTGTACAGCTAATAATCGATAATGAACATTCCTCTATATAATTCTAAGCGATTCACTGAGCTTCATCAACGATTTAAAAAATAACTCTCACCAAACTAACATCTCAGGCCTCATTAACAACAAACTTGAAGAAACCGCCACAATTCTATAGATAACCGTTCTTTGGATAACGCAATTAAGATAACGGGATTCCATGGACAAATTTTAATCTCAAAATACTTACTCACGGATACCATATGTAAAATGATGATCCAAAAAAATGTGAAACCTGCGGAATGAACATTGCGATAAAGCATATCATATTTAAATGCCTCCAATACAAAACTGAGTGGACCAAACAAGATATTCCTTCTACATAGAATTCGCCCCAACCCAATGCAAACCAAATTAATGTTAAATTTTCTCAAAACACTAAATCGTACAAACAAATTTAATATAATGTAAATACTGTAACATTTTAACATTATAAATAATGTAACATTGTATTATTAATATTGTAACTAATGAAATGATCAAAGTTGTAAGAAATATAAAAAAAAAAACTATTTGTTTATTATAATACATTTTTTTACTAATATAATTTCACCAAATAAATAAATTTTAAATTTAAATAATAGGTATAAAACATGTTAAACTTTTAGATACATAAGTGATATAACACATTTAAATAAATTAAACAGTTTACTTAATAGTTTTAAAAATAATTTTTCAACCATGCAATAATTAATCTATTATTATTAACGTACATATTAAAAGAAGTTAGTTTTAAATCATCAACCTTGTCAAAAATCAGAACTCCAGTCCTAAATATTTTATAGAACTCTTTATATTTTATAAAAAAAAATGGTGTTGTTCATTAATATAGTTCGTGATATTATTTAAATATACATACTTGTGCATAGATATACATTGCTAAACACAATCTTAGTTTCAAAGTCATTGCGGATAAAAAAAAAAAATTAACTAACGAACAACTAATGCATATTTTACTTGCAAACTACTATTTTTAAATAAATTTACTTTAAATAACTTACAAATTATTAAAAGTTAGAAAAACTACGCATAGTGTCAAAAAATAATTTATTTATTCTATTTTATATTTAAATTGATGATACAACGTTAAAACTAAAAATTTATGTTAAATACTAACTGTTAACTTGACTAAATAATTTTTTTTCTTGTAATAAGTAAGAGGTGATTTTTAATAATTTTTTTAAATTAATTAAGTCTAATAAAATTACATACCAAAATTAAATTTTAATAAGTTCGAAACTAAAAATACAATAACATAGATTTTTTTCCGTTATAAGGTTGTATCTAAGTTTTACAAATGAGGAAAAACTGTAAAAGAGTTTTTATAATTTTTATAATATTAATTCAATTGACTTTAATTCAAAGTTCAGCATATTTAAAAGATAGTCCGGTAAGAAGAGAGTATTTTAAATATTTGGCTCGAGTAGTAAATTACATTCGTCATCAAACAGGATGGAACTCAATGGAAAACGAATTCTTGAATTGGGACTCTGAAAATGTTATTAGCGTAAAAGAGTTATTGACATTTGAAATTGATGAGAATAATTTTTCGTGTATTTTTAGTCACATTGTGAGTGTATTTAACTCTCAATACATAGGAATACTACTAACTTTCGTTGAACACGTTAATATATTAATAGAAGAATGTGAAAAATATTTAACAGCTCAATTATTTGGTAATTTTATTAATTGCACAACATTACTTGAAATTGGAATGAAGAAATCTACTGTAATGTTTGATAGCATATACCAAGTAATGTGGTTTTTGAGTTATTTAGATATTAAACGCGTTTTTGTAAGAATTGTAGGTAACCCATATACTGTAGTCGATGAAGTTTATTTGGTTAAGCATTTTATAGATTCTATTCAAATAAAAGATAAGACGGGTCCTGCTAACAATCAGGAAGAATATAACGCCAAAGTCAATGAAGCAATATTAGTAATTTTTAATACAAAAGAACTTATTAAGAATGTGACTAAGAGAGCAATTTCTGTTTTAAATAGAAATAGAAAATTATTAATTATACCTCAGCGACCTGATTTGAAGTTAAATTACGAATGGATATATCATTCTCAAGAATTTATTGAAAATGATTTTTTTAATTTGGTGTTAAATAATTTAAATAAATTTTATACACATACAAAAAAAATGTATTACGATGATTTCAACTTCGACATATTACTGTACCCTATTGCACATAGGTAAGTGAAATTTTATCATTTGCTATCATAAAAATTTGCAATGAAATAACTTGGGAGTGGCATAACCAAGCGGGATGTCAGAGGTTGTTAACCCTTTTTTTTAAAAATAAACTAAACACTTCCTTATTATACTATAATATGTAACATATCATGTAAAATAAATAGCAAAGGCATGCATTTTTTTCTAAAGGTAGAAATAAATAGTTGTGCGACAACTATATAAGTACTATTGAATAATTACAAAAAAAGTAACCCCCTTTAACCTGATTACTTTATGAATTTAAACGCCTGCAACTGAATCATGTGTATGGAAAATTAACTAATTAAATTAAAACTTTTTTTTTTGGTATTACTTCCTAAGTTACTGTAATGTTGAAAAGTAGTAGTATTCTTATTTGTACGTTGAGATATAAATGATGCGTTGTTAAAAACTATGCAGCTTTTTAACTTTTCTAAATCATTAAAGTTAGTAAATCAAAAAGTAATATTATAAATCTGGCTATAGATCAGTCAAACATTTACTTAGTATAATTATAGCCATCTATTTAACATTCGGAAGTTATCCCTAAAAACCACATTTTTATTTTTAACGCCTTTGAGAACATCTTGCCGTAGAACAAATCCTCTCCCATTCCTCTTTATTTTCTGCTGCCTCCTTTCAATCCATGTCGCCCATACACCACTCCTCTAATATTTAGGAAATATTTTTTGACTCCATCCACCTTTTTTGCCAATTCTATTAACCTTTAACTACTTTTAGATATGTTATTTAATATTACTTGATATCTATCATAGATCACTAAGTACAAATAAAAATTTTCCGTACACTTTTACAAAAAAGTCGTTATATTATAAAAAGATTGAGATAATATTCCTGATAAATCTCACTGTATACAAAAACAGTATAACAATGCATGAGATATTATTGATAAATTTCGATTTAATTTTTTATGTAGCATGGATTGGCTGATACCTCCACAAGAAGAACCATTACCTCTTTCTACTGAAGTAGCAACTTTAAAAATACTTGTCGATGAAGGAAAATGGAAAACTGTCGATCACATATCAATTATACATAATAGTCTAGTTATCAGTGCAAATCGTATAGTAAGAGATCCAGTTAGTACTATGCATGGTTTTAATCTAAAAAAACAATACATATTACAACTGTTGAATTGCAGGTTCTTTGAAATATTTTCAAATTATTATTTCTATTTAACTCCAATTTTACAGTTTTGCAATAATAAAAAGCAAAACATGAACTGTATAAAAAACATATTTGATACAAATGAAAACTCAGAACATTTTTTCAATAAAATCTATTCGGTAGTGAAAAAATTAAAAGATACATCAATTTGGAAAGTTACTAGTGTACGTATCTCATTATCATTCATAGAAAAGTTATTAGAACTTGTTATTAGAACGTTCAAGGAAAATTATTTGTATGAAGCATTATTTAATAATAAATTAAAAATAGATTACATGACTAAGGTAAATCTATATCTAAAAAATATGTCAAAACAAAAATCAATTTTGAACCAGCACTTATATTTTAAAATGAAATGTCAAAGACGCTGTATATTTATTGGGAAATCTAATCCATTTATTAGTAATACAAAAGAAACTGCATTGGAAAATAATTATATTAAAAAAATTAATACAATTGATGATCATCTAAATGCCTGTATTGAATTATCCACATTCTGCAAAAACTTCATTGACATTGATTTTAAAGATATGGGATTCGATAAAATCTTTTGAAAAATAATTATGCTATTTATTAATCTCTTAAACTGTATTAGTTGTTGTCATTTATATTAAAAATATATAACTGTATTCTTCCAATAATCTAATTGTTTTATACGGTTTATATAAATTTTATAAAATTATAATCTAGTTCCATAGATTTTTTTTGTTTTAAAGGTTAAATTTTGACCTTCAATAAAATTTAATAATTTTAAGCACAACACAATTCCAAATAATTCTAATACAAACATATATATATATAACTAAAAAAGTCAAACAAAAATATATTATTTTAAGAGAAATTGAGTGGCTAGTGTTAACAGAATTTTCCTGTATTTTTTACAATAACAGTAAATTTCCTTTTATAGCTTAGAAATTTTATAAGATTGAAATTAAAAAATTTTAATTTAAAAAACTAATTTTTTGAATATCTCTTCTATTTACGGAGAAAGAGAAAAATCTTATCAAATTTAGAGTTATTTTTTTAATTAAATATAATTTGTCATAGTTTTAAAAATCGTTAATTGTTACAATATAATAATACCAAGTTTTAAAAGCTTAAAATATATACAAAATGTATAATTTTCTTTTTATTTATTCACTTGAATAAAGTTTTACGCAGACATACTATAAAAATTTTTTTTTTAAAATAACTATTTATTTATATACTAGTAATCAATTACAAAAATATATATCATATATAATGTGATGATTATTTTAGATTTAATGATTCGTACATATACATTTTTGTATACCTAATAATTTTTTTTATTAAAATGAATTTCGGACTATTTATTTTTTCAATATACACCATATTAATATGCAGTGGCATTTTTGCTGTAAATTGTGAAGTATTAAAAAAACATTACATGAAATACTTAATTAATGTAGTTAATCATATTCGTGTACAAGAAGGATGGTATTCAATGCACCATCTATCATTAAATAATAAATCAAGTCAACAAATTAGTATCAGAGAAGCATTTATTTACAATTACGGAAGTGATCAACTTGAAGTAATGTTTACAAACATTATATATTTGATAAATGTTAAGTATGCTGAAGTATTAAATAAGTTTGTTGAATTCATAAATATAGGAACAGATCATTGTGAGGAGTACCTTATAGCTCAATCTTTTGAAAATTTCAATATTTGTATTAATTTACTTGAAGTAGAAGTGAAAAAATCTGAATATATGTTTGAGCATTTGTATAAAGCAGTTTCATTTTTAAGTTATTTAGATCTAAAATATATATTCACAAAAAGATTGGGAAATCCATATGTCATTGTTGAAGAAATCTATTTCGTGAAAAACTTTATTTCAAACTTAAAATTATATAACCAGTTATGTGACACTAACCTTTTAACTAATTACACAGTAGATATAATGAAAGCTGTCATAACTAACATTAAGCAATTTATTGGTGAAGTAGCTAATGTCGTACAAGGTATTCTAAATAAACTTAACATTGAAAACAATGTTCCTCTAAAACTTAAATTAATATTAAACACTGAATATGATATGTACAAAACTGATTATTCATGTTTTATTGATTTTTTGTTTAAGAAACTAAATGATTTTTACACTTTCACTATCGAAAATGATTTTATAGGACTTGGATTTAGTGAATTATTAGATCCCATTACATTTAAGTAAGCATTATATAAATTAAATTTTTTTTTTTTTAATTTTATTATAATACACAATTTTTTCTTACATTTATTTAATATATTGATTCTTTTTTTTTAGTAAAAAAGAACTTTATCCGCCGATAGATAATAAATTACACCAAGAAACTGGAATTGCAACATTAAACAAACTACAGATTGAAGGCAATTGGCAAACATTGAATCACATTCATGTATTGTATTATGATCAAGAAGTTAGCATGGATCAAGTTCTAAGAAATCGAGTGGATAATAATAATTTTCATCTTAAGAGAAAATACTTTCAATTATTTTTGAGATGTAGATTTTATGAGTTACTATGCAACTATAATATATATTTAAGTGTAATAATACAAGAATGTCGAAAAGAAAAATCACACACTAAATTCCTTCTTAATTCGTACAAATTTATCGAATGTGTTCACCTTTTATTTTTAAATGTAAAAAGTTCTCAGATTTTTTTAAATTCTATGCTAATAGCTATGGATAAATTTAAAAAACTATCAGTTTGGTGTGAATCGGAAAAAAAAAACTCTTTAAACATTTTATTCAAATTGATAGAAAAATTTCTCAAAAATCTAGTTGAATATAATTTAAATGCAGATGCTTTTGTAGACAGTAATGATGTGAACTTAATGGTAAAAGCAGATAAATATTTAATGGATTTATGCACAGCTAAACGAGATTTTACATTTTCAATTAATAATCTGAAATTACTACAAATTTCGCGGTGCATTACTAATGAAAACAAAATTATTGAAAAAAACATCTTACTTCACTCCGCTGAATATAATGTTAGTATATCCAATGAAACTACTACATCTCAAAACAATATTTATAAATACCACTATTTATGTTCGAAATTATTTATGCTTTGTAATAATTTTATTACTATTGAATTCAATAATCTTGGTTTTGATAAAATATAAACGATTTTTTAACAAATTGATAAATTGTTCACAATTAATATTACATGATTAGTACCATAATTTTATCTATTTAATATAGTTATGATGTTAAGTTGAGATTATCTACGAATAATTTAGTGGTAATACTTTTAATAAATTACAAATTTTATTATCAATTTTTTAATTTATTGAGATTCTATTTTTACAATAATTTTACATCAGATATTATACAGAGTACTTCAATCTAACTGACAATGCTTATAACATTGATACATTTATTATTTTGTTTAAAAATAACTATTTTATTTTAGACTAAGTTTAAAGCATTTCTTATTATTGGCCACTATTTAAAAAATTATAGAAAATTGGAAAAGTTTGATGTTTTGATAACATTTTTAGGTTTATTATTTATTGAGTTACAAGCATTTTAATATATAGAGTGGGTATGTAGCGCGAGTGGGTACAGTTCATACTGGTGGACTTATATTTTGATTGCGTTACATATTATAATTAATCGAAATATAATTGTAAAATAAACACCAATAAGTCTTGAAAAATTAATTTATGTGTTTTTGAATTAAGCGAAGAAAGCTGATATTGGGCTGAAAAGTATTTCAATACGTAATTATTATTGGTTTTTGATAACTATCTTAAGTACACTGATGAATAATCGATGAAAAGATTCAAAACAAATTAGAATATTTTATAATATCAACAGCAGTATGTATACGAGAAGAATAATTTCCTAATATAGGTTTCTAGTATTAAGGACGTGATGTGACACGGTATAGGCCGCTCTATAATAAATATATTAATAATAAATATATATATTTCGTTCTTGGTTAAAATTCTATATCTAATTTACGCCATTTTACATTTCATTTTTAATCGCTGCAACTTAGAGGAATACATCTTATTTTCGTCCGAACACTTTTTGGTGATACAAACATTTCAATACATTAAACATATTGATATTTGTTTTATTTATATTTATTATACACATTAACACCCTTCAAAAAAAAAAAAAAATACTTGATTCGATTACATTATGTTCTATTACTACTGATAGGCCATAACCAGGCTACACAGAGTACTAGTGTAATAATATCACAATAAAAAATTTAATTAACCATAAGATTTCTTTTAAGTGTCTCTCAACTTGTCGACTAACCCGTCTGATCTCTACTACAATGCAAGCCATAGTAGTGTAGAGCACTAACATAACTTATTTTGTATAAATCTATAGTCGCATCTATCCTAGGTCGTCATTCAGCTGATTGAAAAAACGTAGGCCACATATCATAAACGTCTTGCATAAAGATAAATATATTATTTATGATTTCATGTTGGCACAACCAGCAACGTAATACAAATATATTAGAGTCGAAATATTATACTAATTACCTAAGCAATTAGAAAGTGTCTCTCCACTTGTCCCAGTTTGATCTCTTCCACAGTACGGGCCATCGGAGTGTAGGACACTAGTATAATCTGTTGTGCATAGAACTGAAATTAAGCTCGCGTGTACCTTTGATCCACCAATTTCTTAAAATTAACACTATCTACAGATTTGCATCAAATCGTTTCTTATGATAGTGATTTTAATCACTGTTAGATATCATCTATACTTGTGCCATTTATACCACGTCCGCACTGTGCACTGTTTTTTCTGTTATATTATAAAGTTAAAAGTAGGAATTTCCATTTAAGAAAATTATAAATAAGGATTTTTATCCCAGAAGAGATGAAATAAAAACACGATTTCCCTACATATTACTGTAAAGTTTTTTCAACCGAATTTTATTTCTCTTTACAAAAATTTAAATTGTTTAATAATTTCTGAGAAAATTACCTGATTTCGCATTATTAATACAAATCATCCTGTATTCATTTCTAGCTCTATTGAAAGATCATATTGTTGCTTGATTAACGTTGGATAGGCTAAGTAAAGTAGTGTTTATGCAAATTTTAGATTTTAAATTGATTTGCAAAAGTCAGGAATAATCGGTTATAATAATAATTTGAAACTAACTATTTGTGTCATAATTAATTTTATGGAACTTATACATCATTTTTGTTATTTATGACCAATTTTTTTCCATTAATGTAAAAAATCAGCTCTATATAACTGAGTTAGCTGAAAAAACACTAAAAAATTTAAATCAGTTAATAATTTTACTATAATCTTTATTGTATTCATAGTATACTGGTTTTTAAATTACTTGATTGATTTACTCTATTTACATCTTGAGTTTTTAAACTAAAATATTATTATTTTTGTATTTATTTGAGGCAAATTTTTTTGTTGATGTACACGAGTTATTTATAATTAAATCGAGTCGATTTCATGCGAACATGATTGTATTACAAATGAGTTACAATCACAATAAATTAAAATTCTTATATGTGGTGTCATCGCATAGAGATAGGTTCAAGTTATTAGTAAATCAAAATTGCACTATCTGATTTTATGTTATCTTTAGTAATATTATAGATATACGAAATTACTACTTTTTTTGTGATGCATTATATCGTTCATAATAGAATTTTGGCAGGGAAATAGTGATGATACAATTATAAGATTAGAAAAAAACCTTTAAATTAGATAAAAAAAAATTGGTTTTGCACATCAATTGAGGTTGTTAAAGGTTTTACTTACGCGTAGATAAACATTGTATATCTCATGGGCGTTATGCTAATTCCATAGTCAATACTGATATTAAAAAATTGTTATCATACAATTAATGCATATATTTCACGATATAAAAATATTAATATAACTACATATTTTAAATAAATTTACTTCAAACACCTTACAAAACATTAAAAAAATTCGCATATTAACATCAAACAATTTATTTATTCTATTTCATATTTTAGTTTATATGACGTAAAGAGTAAAAATTGATATTAAAATTAAATATTAACTTGACTAAATCATTTTTTTTTTTTTTGAAAAAAAAAGTACTTATAAGTAAATGTATTTTATATTATTGGATTGGAATCGATTTATATACATAAAGAAAATCCTAATACATACGAAATTAATAATATTTTTCATTTTAAGTTTGTATCATAAGTATTCACATGAAAAAAATGTGTAAAGTAATTTTTATAATATTAATTCAATTGATATTAATTTATAATTATGGATGTTTTAAAACTACTCCGATAAGAAACAAACATTTAAAATATTTGACAGGAGTAGTAGCTCACATTTGTGATCAAACAGGATGGAACTCAATGGAAAACGATTTATTGATTTGGAACTCAAAAAATATTGGAAGGATTAAAGAACTATTAAACCATAAATTTGATAAAGACAATTTTTTGTATATTTTTAGTTATATAGTGAATATATTTAATTATAAATATATAGGAATACTACAAACTTTCGTTGAACATGTTAATATATTAATAGAAGAATGTGAAAAATATTTAACAGCCAAATCATTTGATAATTTTATAAATTGCACAACATTACTTGAAATTGGAATGAAGAAATCTACTGTAATGTTTGATAGCATATACCAAGTAATGTGGTTTCTGAGTTATTTAGATGTTCAACGCGTTTTTGTAAAAGTTGCAGGTAACCCATATACTGTAGTCGATGAAGTTTATTTGGTTAAGCATTTTATAGATTCTATTCAAATAAAAGATGAGACGGGTCTTGCTAACAATCAGGAAGANTTCAAATAAAAGATGAGACGGGTCCTGCTAATAATCAGGAAGAATATATCGCCAAAGTCAATGAAGCAATACTAGTAATTTTTAATACAAAAGAACTTATTAAGAATGTGACTGAAAGGGCAATTTCTATTTTAAATATATTGGGGGCACTAATAATTATACCTCAGCGACCTGATTTGAAGTTAAATTACGAATGGAAATATCATTCTCAAGAATGTATTGAAAATGATTTTTTTAATTTCGTGTTAAATAATTTAAATACATTTTATACACATACAAAAAAATATTATTACGATGATTTCAACTTCGACATATTAATGAACCCTGAAGCATATAAGTAAGAAAATATTTTTCATTGACTATCTTAAAAGTTTTTAACAAGGGAGAATGTTAGGGGTTGTTAATCTCCTCTCAAAAATGATAATCGTTTATGAATTGTAGTCAGTAACGTATGGTATACTATTACGAGTAATAACAGATAATAATCAATTGATATATGTCAGTGTTTTAGGGATGAAATTAAAATTAAATTGAGAATCATTACTTCTAAATTAAAAAAAGTCAACCAATCGTCATTATGAAATATCACCAAAAAAAATTATAAAATATATCTTATAACATTAGAACATTTTATAACTCTGCATATAAATATATTAAAAACACTTGAATGGTTTAATTCAAAAAGTTTTTATGTAGAAAAACAGTAAATGTATATTTATGTTTTAGATTAAAATATTTTAGTGTGTTCTGATTTGTTCCATTTAGTAGCACCATTTTTCTACTTTTTATATTTCATATAGATAACCCAACCCGACCCGCCAATAGTCGTCGAAATAATTACCTCAATAGGTATTTTTTGGAGTTACTAATTAAAAAAATTAACACTTTTTTTATAAAAGTATATTTATCTCAAAACTGTTTTTCTACATGAAAAATTTTTTTAATCAAATCATTCAATTGTTTTTAAATATTTTTAAAAGCAGAGTTATTGAAATTTATATTGATATAAGATATATTTTCTAATTTTTTTAGTCGTTTGTAAAAAACTGAAGAAATCAGACATCCTGATAGCGGTAAACTCTGAGCCTAATCAAATTAGAAAGACTGTCCTAAATTATCTTGTCTGTTTTTTTATAATATATTGCTTTATGTAATTGTATTGGGTAACTTTTCTTTGTGTATTCTCAATAAATTTTGATAACCCATAATAGTATGTTATGCTTTAATTTGTAATTTATACTCAGTACACTGGTCACATACGTTTACTTGAGGTCAGCGAAAACCATATTTTTGAGGAAACTGGGTATTCATACAATACAAGTATGGTTTGTACGTGTAGGTTTCTTCTGATAATATACCCGGAATAATAATAATAATTGGTATATTTTCTTCACTGATTATAACCATTTTGCAAAATATAGTTTTGTAGATGAAGATTTGCTAGATCTTACTCAATCCAAACCAATCGTAATATGTCACAGTAGGAAATATATTTAAATGTTATACTATAATTGTAATATATGAAAGGAATGGTTTTTTGTCTATTAGTTTCTATGTCTTCCTCTCCTTTTTTGAACAAAACTGTTCAAAATTGTTTTCTGTGCAACACGTTAACGTTTCACAACTATGCAAAACAAAGTTTCCATAAACTTTCGACAAACAGTAATTTCTAACTAAAAATTATAATTGAAGAAGAATAAAATTAGTTTGTCACTCTACAAATATCAATATTAGAAGCAATCTCTTTTTTCAGAACACACTTGAATAGTTATTTTCTTTTTCATTTTTTTGCTTTTTGTTTCCTCCTTCAAAATTATCAAAAAATTCACATTGTGTTTCGAGGGTTACAGCATTGACACAGTTTTGGGTACATAATGAATTTACAATAAGGTGATTTATTGAACACATTGCTACGAGAAACAATGGAGGAATAATTGTTTAAATTGACCATGAGTCTAAATATTTGTTTAATACCATGTTTTATATTTTTATATTTTTAGAATTACTTTAGATTAAAAAAAAAAATTACTTTAATTTTATTTATTAATCCAAGTGTATAAGTAATATAAATATCCATTAGTTTTAAAATTTTATACAAACGATCGTTTCTTATGGTGTTATTTTCAAAAAAGTATTATTTAAAATTTTGACAAATTGATATCAATTTTCAATGAATTATTTAAAGCATAAACAAGGTTTATCATAAACCACTCAATTACTCACAAAAGAAATCTTTGATTTCTTTTACTAACATATTGTTCTTGTATAACGCTTTTATTTTTATCACTAGTTATTTCTCGACCGTACTCTTCTTCTTGACTAGATATAGAAATTAGAATAACTTCCGAAGTACTGTGTTAAATATTGTCATTTACTATTTTATAAACTTGTTAAATATGTCTGTTGCCATTTAAAATAAATAATCTTGTCATCCCTATTCATTATAATCAATAGTTCTAAAAATTAGCTGATAAATCAATATTTATATACATGGTTTACATATATGTTGCATATATTTCACATGCCGCCAAAAGAAATGAAAATTTTTTTTCAATATTGTATGTATTTTGAGAGTAATCGATTGATTTATGATACACCGATCACTCTTTATACTCTAGTAGCCTTATATTATTTATTCTAAAATTGTTATCTACCCATAAAATTTATTGCAAGAAAAGTAATAGGCTATTTTTTTTTTTTTATTAAGAAAATATTACAATCTGTATACATAATACAATAAGTAAAAATGACTGAACAATGTGTTACAACGCATGAATATCGTGCATGAAGAAGGAGCCCATTGACACCACTTCAAAATAAAAGAATAATAATTAAAATTGTGAAACTAAATTTGTGCTAAAATGAGTTAGAGAAGGTCTCTAGCCCAGTTTCTTTTGAGTCGACGTAATGGGTTAATAGGGTTAGAGGGATTATGGAGATTAGATATTAGAGGGTTAGGATGGTTTTGTGTGTCACTGTGGAATTTTTTAAAATAGCAAGAAGCAAGTTCAGGAAGTGTTAGAATTTTTAGGTCTTTGTGGAGAGTTTGGTTACTAACATACCACGGTGCTCCTGTTATAATTCTTAGGTTAATTGATTGAAAGGATTGAAGGATAGAGATATTTGATTTTTTCGCGGATCCCCAAATTTGAATACCGTAGGTCATGGCTGGGCGTATGATTTGTTTGTATATTAGTAGTTTTATATTAAGTGGCATATTAGAACGGAGAAGATGTCTCAGAGAATGGAGACGTAGGTTTAATGATTTTCGTTTGTTTTTTATGTGGTAGGCCCAATTTAGTTTTTTGTCTAAATGGATGCCTAAATATTTAGTGTAATCATGTTGAGGAATTATGTTGTTATTTATCGATAAAGGAGGGCCATTGGTGGAACGGAGAGTAAATGATACGTGGGAGGATTTTCCTTCATTAATTTTTATTCTCCATAATTTGAACCAAGTTTGGAGTTTGTTGAGATGATCTTGGAATAGGCTATTTAAAAATGTTGAGAACATTTTAAATTTAAATAAAAATTATACTTATTTTTTTTTTACTAGAAAAAAATTATAATAAATATGCTTTTAACGCAGTCAATAAAAGCAAAAATGTTTATTTTTATCATTTAGCAAAGATAAAGTAATTATAGGCTTTCATTTAACTATCGAAAGTTAATCTTAAATGCTATTTTATATAACTTGATATTTATCATAGATCACGAAACACAAATAAAACTTTCTCCTTACAAATTTACGAAAAACTCATTATTTAACAATAAAATTGGGAGTGTTATTTTCAATAAATTGCACTTTATATGTAGTTAAATTATAATAAAATATGGAAAAAAAATTTAAATAATATATAAATAAAAATAGTGGCTAAAACACAATACAAATTTAGATTTAATTTTCCATGTAGCATGGATCGGCTGATACCTCCACAAGAAGAACCATTACCTCTTGATACTGAAGTAACAACTTTAAAAATACTTGTCAATGAAGGAGAGTGGAAAACAGTAGATCACATATCAATTATACATCATGGTCTAGTTATAAGTGCAAATCGCATAGTAAGAGATCCAGTTAGTACTATGCATGGTTTTAATCTCAAAAAACAATATATATTATTATTGTTAAAGTGCAGGTTATGTGAAATATTTTCAAATTATTATTTGTATTTAGCTTCAATTGTAAAGTTTTGTTATAATGAAAAACTACAATTAGTCAAAGCTTCTAATGCGGATATATTATCATACGTGAACTGTGTAAATAACTATCTTGAAACATGTAACATCTCAGAAATTTTTTTCAATAAAATTATTCTGATAATGCAAAAATTGAAAGATGCATCAATTTGGGAAGTTACTATAGCACGTGTCTCTTTATCATCAATTGAATTTTTTTTAAAACAATTTATTGATACATTTAATAATAATAATTTGTATGAAAATATTTTTAATTATACAAATAATACAATTGCCATGTTTGTGATAGATAAAATTCTAAAAAATATGATAAAACAAAGAATAATGTTAAATAAAGAACGTCATGCAAAATTATTATNAAAAATATGATAAAACAAAGAATAATGTTAAATAAAGAACGTCATGCAAAATTATTATATCAGAAATCACGTTGTCAATATATTGGGAAATCTAGTCCATTTATAAGTAATCAACTTCAAACTGCCGAGGAAAATAATGATTTCATTAAAATTGATACATTAGCCGATCATAAAAGAGTGTGTAATGAATTAATCACATTCTGCAAAAACTTCATAGAAATTGATTTTAAAGATCTGGGATTTGATAAAATCTTTTGAATAAGAATTATGCTATTTATTAATTTTTTACTTAATTTGTTTTCATGGTGAAAATGGGTATCAAAGTTAATAAAAAAATACG